GTTACTGGCAATGCCACTGTTCTGAAATGTTATGCAGATCAAATGCATTGAAAAAACTGTACCAATAGGGAGTTCAAAGGTATTACCTAATATTTTCCTCAATAAAACCTGACCTGACCTGACCTAACCCCGTCACAAATGGCAATAATGACATCCATGACTGAGTAGTCAGCATAGCCGGCCTGCTGTGTGTGTTGGTGAACTGAACGTGCTCAAGTCCGCCACAAATACGCCATAGGAAGTATGCTTCTTTCTAGAACCACAGCTGCGAAAATGCTCAGAATGAAAAAGCACAAAGTGCACGAAGCGGTATTTCAAACTGTCGACGCAGGGATGAATAGTCGGCATTTTGAAGGCCTGATTTCGTTTAACGTATTTGTTGTAAGTCTGCAAACAAACAGCACTGTTATAACAGTTTACTTTTTAGCATTCCCTTAAAGTGGACACCAAGTTGTTGAAAATGTCATAGACTTCGTCCGGTATTATTTTCTTAAACAAAAAGTATAGGATGCCCGTTAGTTCTCGAGCTGCAAAGAAAGTTTTTGATGGTTGTGCATCTCTTTTTTTGGTGAAGAGGGGCGGGGTATGCAGAAATCCTTCACTTGCGGGCCTGGGTTCCTTTGCCTAAAACGCGAGAGCTCAACATGAATGGGTTCGTAGGCATCCTCTGTCCTGAATGAAGTGACCACTAGGAACAATTGCTTCTTTTTCATTCTGTTAGAAAAAGAACAAAATTTCACACGTCTTAATAGATAATGAACAGCAAACATTTAACTGTCTATTGTACGAAATTCTGGCAGGCCAAGTTCCTCACATATCTATTCATTTATCTCATGTCGACCAGCAACGGATTGTTGACGATCGTGGCGGGTCCTCCAAATTTCGTCATCTAGTTGGCAGAATTGGCAAGGAATAAGGACGTATCATGGTCGCAGTTCTGGGACGTTGGTGATAACTCGGGACCTCTAAGGTTTTGAATTGCATTCCAAATTCCATAGTTTCCGAAAAATGTCCTAGGACTGTTCCATTTTTTGCTATTTTGATTTTGTCCCACATGCTAGCTCATGCAATATGGTATCGCAAATCAGCCGAGGTGCACAGATGCATTTTTGTCCCTGTGTCCCCAGAAGGGAACCCAAAGTCGTTTAACTTTACCTTAATAATCTGTACTGAACTGATGCATACTTTGCAAGTGCGGCCGTAAATAACAAACCTCTTCGCCCAAGGGCAACTGTTGGAAATTCGCGTGTTTTCGTCACCCTGAACGAGCAATTGCTTTCGTAAATACGATCACTATGCAAAATATGCGACGCGCTTGACTAAAAAGCTCAATTGCCTCTTCTAAGGCATTGGAGGATGCAAATTTCTGCCTGCATAAAAACCTTTGTAAAGTGTCTGATAGAGGACCATCAGCCGCCCTTATCACCATCGTAACTGTTAGCGCAATAATCAAGAACTCGCCGACGCAATATTCCAAAAACCGGCGAAATATTTAGGTACACGCTCTCTGAAAAGGAGCCGATCAATGAACATCACGGTCGTCGAATAGGAAACTATTCCACATGCCATTCTGTTGGGAAATTCATCGCTTAGCTAAAAATGCACAGTCAGTGGCATGTAAGTAATCGAGAAAATTACATGCCAAGCCGCTGAACGAAATAGTTTCTCACCGTATTTGCCTAATTGCTAGCGCAATTTCAGGCAATTGCCAGAGTGCTGTAAAAGAAATTCTTTTTTAAATGTACTAGTGGACTGGCCAGTGGGATTTTGAGATAACACAGTAATCCCCCTCCGCTTTGTGATTTCCTTTCGCGGATATCCCTATTATTAAAAAATATGCATACAGAGAGAGATAAATACACTTTCTTTTTTCTTTGTGACAGGAATTTAGCCGACGGTAATAGCGTAAGAGTTTACGAATTTTCATGAAGAGGGTTTCCCTATGAAGGGAAATGAAAGATTAGGTGTCAGAGCATGTCACTTTCAGTCGCTTTTTAAGGAAAGAAGGCTTTCGCCCCTGAGCTCCCCATTCATATCCAAAAATTGCAAAATAGTTCAACCTTAACAGTAGTACATAATTCAAATGTAGACCTAACATCAGCGATAGGTGTGAGCCACTTGCAAACTGCTGCTACTGACACTATGTTCCTTATATCTCCCACAGTTTATCAGCAAATGAGAACGAAGTTTGTGTTTAAAAATGTCAACACTTTCTGAGAGGACCACCTCGTCAGGGAGTCCGTTCCACGCTCTGACGACCCTCTGCGAGAAGGCATTCCGTTGAACGTCCATATGGGCTGACTTCCTCTGCAGTTTAAAGAGGTGACCCCGCAGATGATCCGTCCGAGCCAATTCGCAGAATTCGTCAAATTTCAGGGTGCATTCACGGCCTCTGAAAATTTGGTATGTTTGGATGAGGTCAACGCGGAGTTGCCTATAATTGAGAGGAAATAAATCAAGTTCAGTCAATCTGTCTTCATAAAACTGACCATCTTCTTTGCCATCGCCTGCACTCGCTCCAGCTGCAGATAGTCCTTCTTGAACCATGGACGCCAGGCCTGGACGACATACTCCAAGTAAGGCCGAACAAACGCTCCGTTCGTTGTTCTGAAGAGTTCATTGTCGACGTGGACAAATTCCCGTCTAATCGCAAACAAGCGCGCGCTTCAAATTGCGGTTTAAATTTCTCGTCCTCCGTGGGAAACATTATATTCGGGATTTCGGTTCACCTAGCACTCTGGCGGACTTTCGTTGTTAGCTATT